GCGTCCTCACCGCCCGCGGCCGCCCTGGCCTCGGCCGCTGGTCGCGCGCCAGCCCGGGGAACGGCCGCGGCGTGGAGGGTTAAACCGGAAAGGAGGAAAGCTCTTCCAAAGACAAGAGTTTGCAAGCCGCTTGAGTACCGCACGGATGGTCTCCCGGGCGGGCGGCCGCGGGCCCTCCTATTCCGCGTGTCGGGAGGGGGTCTGGGAGGAGGAGCTACGGGCTTTTTTTATACATATATTTTATTTTCAGCGCCTTCGTCTTGAATAAATGGGCATCGTTGATAACAGGAGATCGCATGAAACCGTAGTCATCTAAATATTTTATTGACCATAAAGATCCCTTCTGTGTTACTTGGCCCGAAGCATAGCAAGTGTCAGCGAGCAAATAGATCTTCACGTTTATATAATCACAATCTATTTCCTTCGCGGTCTTTATGAGTTTTCTTAATTGTTGGTGCTGTTTATTTGAACCAAAGCGATGTTATGATTTCTCCTCCTTAAAGGAACGTCTTTCATTGTTGTTTTTGTTGGCAGGGTCTCCTTTTGTAGTTTAGGCTCACCCTGAACCTTGTATAGTCCAGGCTGCCCTTGAACTCACTGTGGATCCTCCTGCCTCAGCCTCCTAAGTGCTGGGATTACAGGCTTTCGCCACCATGCTGGATCATCACAGTCACTCTGGTATGGGTGAAGAAGGCCTGGCTATTGCTTCTGTGCCGTCCTACTGACCCCTGGCCCACCAAGGCTGTAGATGTGAGATTGCTGCTAGGAGTGTCATGGCAGGAGCGTGGGTGTGGCGGTTTCAGGGAAGCGCTCCGTAAACCCACCCTTCCTTCAGGGACTCAGCTGAGGTAACAGGGTAGCTGTCACTGCACGACTCTCGGTGCACGGTCAGGGTGTTAGAGGAACTTCCTCAGTGCTCCTGGCTTCCATGCCTCCACTGTAGAAATCTGGCCTACTAATGGCTGATGCCTGCCGGCCTCGGAGCTGCACTTACCCCACGTCAGGGACCTAATGGGTCAGAACGTCCCAGGAACTGAACCTTGGAATCTGGAGAGAAGGTGTAGCTGCATAGCTGTCTCCTTGCCAGTGCTGGCGCGAAACGTGCTTCCCGACGGGTTCACTATTGCCCCAGACACGAGCAGCACCCAGGCTCGGGCCCATCGGCAATCTGAGTCAAGGAGCCTCCTGTGGACAGGTTCAGCCATCTCAGAGGCGTGGGGCCTGGCGCCGCCCCAGTACCACCCTGTGTGTGAGGAGTTGTCTTTTCCCTTGCAGTAGCTGGGTGCAGCCGTCTGGCCTGGGAACGCAGCCTCATTTCACAGTAGGGTAATTCTGAGAGCAGTGTGGGCCTGAGTTAGAAGAATGTGGGCTGTAGTATATATTTTTACATTTGATACTTTCTTGTAGCCTTGACACCCCCAAAGCAGGTTGTGACCCCCTCATGAGGCCAGCAGGGTGCACTGGTGACTAGGCTGGCTTCCAATACAATTTTGCTATTGCTCTTTTCCAACTGTGACCTCATGGCAAAAATTTTGAGACAGGGTCTCGCTATGCAGTTCAGGCTGGCTTTGAGCTTCGTTCGTAGTCCAGGCTGGTCTCGAACTCACAGCGATCCTCCTGCCTCAGTCTCCCAAATGCTGGGACTACAGGTGTGCGCCACTGCTCCTGGCTTGTGACAAAAATTTTTGGCTTCAGACTTTGGTGAGGATCCTAAACCTTTTCCTAGGTCTATCTGTACACTTCCTTATAAATCCAGTTTCAACAGTGTCAGTTTAACAAGAACCCCACAACCCTCAATATCTGATTACCCATGGTATCTGACCAGGTTCTCTGTTCTGCATGGCAGGTGATACTGGGTTGCCTGAGCCCACCTTCACCAAGAGCCCTGGAAGTCCGTTGAGTCAGAATCCTTCACCCCTGATGTTTTCTATTGGTAATTTTCCATCCACTGACTGCACCTTGTTCTTGGCTGTACATTTCTGCTTGGTGTATTCGGAGTTCAGCCACATCTGTCCTCCAGAGCAGAACCGCATTGCCGTGGTCTCTTGACCTGTGGAGGTGATCCTGAATAAAGTCTGACCTACTGTGCTGGAACAGGCGTCCCTGAATAACTTTCTTTAACACTAGTGAATTCAGACATGCCATGTGCCTTTTGACCGCGTCTTCACCCGACTCCAGCAACAGCGCTTCCCACCAGTCCTCCTTGCTCTGCGGTTGTGCCCACCCCTGGCTGTCCCTGTGTGGCTTCCTCCCCGTGGCTGCCTTGCCTGTCTTTCTAGAGGTCACTTTCACTTTACCATACGTGTCTCATGGACACACTCAACCAGCCATCTCATGAAAGAATACAAAACGGGGTCTTTGCCCCAGTTCAGCCACAGAGGATCCCAAGGAAAGAGCTGCATCAATAACTACCACCAGGCGCATCAGGGCTTGGAGGGATCTGGTGTCTCACAGTCATGATCATGCCTGGCAGGATGGCAGATAGACGCAGCATCTGGGAGCAGAGTGTTCATGAGCATTTGAGAAAAATCATGAGGGTGCTCACAAATATTTGTGCAAGGGAGTGGTTTTCAGGTAATGAGCACGTGAAGGATGAATTCCCACTGCATGTGGCCATATGTGGAGGCTGGTGGATCTGCCTTACAGAGTACAGGTGCAGAGGTGAGACCTTTCCCGTAATAGTACAGTGTTTTTCTGTAAGAAGTGCCTCCTCCACTCAAGTGGGTCTGCCTTTGTGCAGCTAATTATTTCCTTACCTCTTCTGATGCGGGCAAGGCTTGATTTGGGAAAGTTCTCCCATTTAGAAAGAAGGAGTTGGCTAACTGGGCCACCGTCTGACCCCCCTCTCTTCCACATGTCCATCTCCCATGGGATGTTAGGTTTCCTGGTATTGTTCCGATTGAGACCATAGGTCAGTGATGATGGTGAAACTTTTAGAGACCACGGGCCAAACTATAACCTAAAACCCATTTATCACACAGTACCAACACTGAAATTAAACCTGAATACTGAGGTTTTAGTTCAGAAAAAACAGCTCATCTTTTGCCTTAAGTGAAAAATATGTTAACACGAATGGCATGACACTACTGCCATTGCCACCAAAGCCACCATTTATGAATTTGTGGGGTTTCCCTTCAAGTGAGTGGATGTTTTTCTTGCTAGTCTTCTGCTGAGGCATGTAGACAGGAGTGAAATCTCCTGCCTCTCTCCGAACCCTGTGCTCTTGATCCAGATGTAGAGGAACTCTGTTGGGAGTTGGGAGAGATAGCCTCTGCCTACAGAGGCAAGGCTGGAACTAAGCTAGAAAGAGGGCACTAGGGATTCCTGTTGTTAGACCTTCGATCTAAAATGTCTCCTCAGAGTCTCACATTCGGGGCAGGTTACTGGGGTGTGATTTGGAAGGTGTGTCCTCCTTTCCCTCTCTGCTCCCTGTCCTTCATGCTGTGTGCAGCCTTCCTCTGCCATACCCTCCTAGCACGCCATTTCTGCTTCTGCATTGGACCCACCAGCCATGGGTGAACCCACTGCAACTGTGAGCCAAAGCAAGCCTCTACTTCCTTAAGCTGTGAGTGTTGGGTATTTGTCCAAGTGACAGGAAAGTGATTGTTAAGGGAATCTATCAAGTTAATAATACCCCTTAGTTATTGCGGGCTGACCAGGTCCTCAATTTCCTGAACAAGAGTATGGTGAAGGCGAAATAAAAAGAGGCAAATGGAGTGATTTCAGAGTTCCAGGAGGATCAAAGCCTGCTCACAGAATTGAAAGTTCTCAAGGCTAAGACCAAAAGCTCTGGGTGGCCATATTTATTTGGTTATCAGAAGAAGGGAGGAGAGTATTCAAGAAGGGTGGAACCCCTCAAGGACTTCTCCAAGTAAGGTGTTAAATTAATCCTTAGTAAGGATTAAATTAATTCACCCAGGAGTGAGATGCCTGAGGCTATAATCTTTATCTAGTTGAGACTGGATCCAGGTGTCCTTAGCTGTGATCTTGTCTTATCCTTTGAGGCTTCCTGGCTTCATTTGCCATAACAGGTTTTAGCAGGGATTAGTGACTCATAGAGGTTCACTTACTATGAGTCCATTGCCCACTTCCAGACAAGCAGCCTAGGCTTTGGACAGATTCACAAATAAACATAAAAAGCCAGTTGGTTAATTTAAATCCTGCTTGGGGCTGCTTCATAGTGGTCTCCATCAGCAATACATTGTACCTTTTAACTATACTATGTGTGTACATATCATCTTGATCCATTTCCTTTTTTCTTTTGAGCTTTTATGAAGTCCTGGTTTAATAGTTTCAGACTGCTTCTGCTGTGTCTCAGAAGTTGGGCTCATCTGGGTTCAGAGCATCAAAGAGAAGGAAATCCATGCCCAGTCTGCAGTCAGCATGGAGTAGCTATGGTTGTTAGTGATAGCACCCCTCAAGGGAGCAAATGTAGGGGAACAGGACTGACAATCCACTCCCTCTACCCATGAACTGATTCTGCATCTATTCCAAGTTTGGAGGATTTTTTCCTGATCAAAGGATAGAGTGAGCTCCCTTGAACTACCCAACTAAGGAATGGTGACGTTAGGGTAGGAGCAGGAGAAGGCTGTAAAAAATGGAGGACTACACACATGGGTATATAAGCAAGAAAAAATGAAAACATGCCAACAAAACACTTGCACATGAATGTTCAAAATAGCATTGTGCACAGTAGCTAAAAATTGTCAACTGATGAGTAGAAAAATAAAATTATATTTATAAAGAGGAACAACAGCAGGAACAAGGAGCAAAGAATTGTTACATGCTACAATATGGATGAACACTGAAGACATGCTAGTGAAAGGAAGCTAATCATAGAAGGACAAATAACCCCTGATGCCATTCACATAGAATGCCAGGTCAGCAAATCTGTACTGACATGGAAGCATGTTAGTTGTTTCCAGGGGTCAGGAAGGGTAGAGATGGGGCATGGCTACCTAACAGGTTAGGCATTTACTTCATGTGTGATGCAAATGTCCTGGGACTAGGCAGTGGTGATGGTTCCATCACATGAGTGGACTTAATGTCCCTGATGTGTATAATTTAAACTATTTAAGGCAGTGAATTTTGTCATTTCTTTTACCACACAAGAAAGAATGAGGTATTGATAGATGCTATGACATGGGTGAACCTTGCAAATGTGCTATATGAAAGAAGCCAACCACAAGTGCTCGCAAGGTATTATTCCATTCACGTGAAATCCCCAGAAGACACTGCTATATGAGGACAGAAAGATTGGTCATTGGGCTGAAGAGAGGAAGGACTGGATACCAACGGCCTGGAGGAGTGGGGACT